GCCCAGGAAGAAGGGAGGGGTGGGGGGAAGGTGTTTTAGTTTTTAGTTTTTATTTCTCATTATCCTGCTTTGATTTGATTGGTAAAACTAACTTCTAACTTCCCCAAGTCGAGTCTGTTTTGCCCATGACGGTAATTGGTGAGTGATCTCTCCCTGTCCTTATCTCGACCCACGAGCCTTTCGTTACATTTTCTCTCCCCTCTCCAGCTGAGGGGAGCGACAGAGCAGCTTTGGTGGGCACCTGGCGTCCAGCCAGGCTCAACCCACCACAGGTACTTAGTTTTCACCAGGGTTGCTTTAAGTCAAGCTGCTCTGGAGGGTCTGTGTGTTCTAGATGTTCTACAGAATTCTGCTTTTAGGTCTTGACAGATAGGTGAAGAAACAAACATTTTTCTTTTGTCTTAAAATGTGTTTGACAGACATGGAACTAAATCCTTCAGGCCTTACCCTTGGAAGTATTTGCAAACAGGGCAACTCATACAAAAAAAGGTAAATACTTGGTAATCTATATTCTTCTGCACCTTCTGATGCTTCAGATCAACTCAGATCTTTTGGGGAATCTGGTATTTCAATGCAGAATACTGACTTTATAGAGTAAGTAACCGCTTTTTTTACACTATCATGTATTTTTATCTGAATGTCCTCAAATTATTTGTGGATGATGAGTGACTGCACAGATTACACTGACTCATGTGCTCACAGCATCCCAGATTTGGCAAATTTAACGGATCTATTACATTATGTAGATAAAGTATAGTTCTGAAAGGGAAATTATAGCTGTTGTCTGACTTCAAAATACAAATGCTTCAAAAATACTTCAGAGACCACTGCAAATTTGACACACTTTAATGCCCAAAACTTATTTGTTAAGTTTAAAATTTAAATAAAGATCTACCAAAACCTCTAAACAAGATATTCTGATTTGTTTCAGGATTTTACTGACAGCTGTGTTGAAGTAGTCCAAGATTTTCGCCCTAAAGAACAAAGATCAGATTACTGATCAGCCCTTCAGTTGCTGAGCTGGACTGTTTGAAGCCTCTCATTTAAATTCTCAGCTGAAAATCTGAATTTCAAGAAGCTGATGGATTATAGCCTATTCTTAAAAGGGAAACAATTCATTTTTGGAAAGCTCTGCCAAAAAACAAATCCCCAAACATCAAGCATGCTGCCCTCCAATGGATTTCCACATCTGACTCAGCCTACTCTTTCTAACCTGAAATATGTGAAAGACAAGCATAGTCTTCTGTAACTGATGCTCGTTTAGTGAACTGCTGTGTGCGCAGCCACAAGAGTACAAGCTAAAGGTCAGGGAAAGAACAGGAAAACACAACACTTTATATGCAGGCAGGACTTGAACTCGGTGTAACTTTTAGCGATGTTCGGGAGCTTTGTTATTCATGCTAATGATGTTGTAATTGGATTCTAAAACAAATGATTCATTAATTAGTAAAGAAAAAAACCCCTACAACTATGCTAAATATGCTTTTTTTTCTGTTTGAGTATTAGCATTACACGTACAGCAGCAGCAACAATACAGTTGAATAAAAGGGTTTACAGGACAAATCTATGCAATACCAAAATATGCCTTAAAACATTTTATTACCCAAAATCTGATCTGGTATAATCTGGCCACCACCATCTTAGCAGTCAGAAAACTCAGCAGCACAAACTGTCCCGCTCGGTGAAGAGAAGGGTAACAGGTGATCTGATCGGGCAGCCTGCCCTTCTCTACGTGGGACATTTGGATCTTTAGTAGAATAAACATCTCCTTAACTTAGTAGAAAAAGACAAAACGTCCCAGGTACTAGAAACGCAAGCCGCATAATCTAATTTAGAAACGAAGTTCAATTTTAAACTGCGTGGATAATAAACATCAACTCGCTCAGAAGCTGGGGGGTTCTCTGTCAATTAACTAAAAAAAAAAACCCACAACCAAACAAAAGTGGTGCCTTTCAACAGGATAAACTAAACGT